GATTTTTGCCAGTGAATATAAATCATAATGATCTGAGGCAAATATTTTTTTTGGAATTCATAACTCATTTTTACAACAGTCGATAAAATACAAACAACCATCGTACCTAAACACACGCGCAGGTATTGTACCTAAATATTTGAAATTTACCTACTTCAAATTGCACAAAATGACTAATTCTCACTTCTCAGTTTATGTGTTGATGAATTATTGTATACTTTGATAATTTATTAGTTGATAAAGAAAAATCTAAAATCAACACTATGTCTTAAACATTAAAAATAACATAAGTAAAAACCACTATTTTTTTTATATGTATATTATATTCATGTCTAATGTYAATCTCAAAATTTTTATTTATCATGTATTGTATACAGTTATTTTTTTGTCATAAATTAAACATTTATTATTTTATTTTATATGATTATTATACTTGTCTTGAATTCAAAAATCTCAACAACTATAATGTTATTTAGTATAGTATATTTCAATAATGAATTGTAAATTGAATCTCACTATTCACTTTTTAAAAAACATTATTACTACTATATCATATATATATATTTTAACACTCATACTCGTATAAGATAATAATGGTCGCATAAATCAACTTTATATAACCAACAGAAAGATAGCTTTGAGCTTGAAATAAGATCTATTAACTAAAATGAATTTAATGATAAAAAGCTCTCACGAGAATTCCAAAGGTTGTATTTTTGTAAGAAAATATAAAATAATTGTATGTAATTTCATCATAATTAATGTATAGTTTCTTATATTTAATACGAACATAAGGTATAAATATATGGCACTTTCATACCTATATTATATTTTGCAGTAGATGGTGGATATAAATATAAMAATTTTAATAAAATAGAAAAAAATTATAGAAATTATTTTACGTACCTATTRAAACATAATTCTAATACAAAAACCATAATATAAAGAGATATAAAAACAACTTAAGAATTAAAAAAAAAATGGTTGCAATGATCATATATTATACTCTAAGGCCTTAGTCAAAAGAG